TTAGTCACTTGGCCTTGTGAAGTTCTACAAACAGGATTAAAGCAACAGCTGGGAGCCCGGGGCCTCATCCTGGACTCCTGTGCCCAGCTGTGCCACTGATCAGACACGGCTCCCTTGGATCAATGCCCTCCCTCACCTTTAAAAAATATTGTGGCTCTACTTGTCTCATTTTACAACGAAGGGCTTAGGCACAGTGAGTGGTCCTTCACAGTGACTCTAGCCCAGGGGGAGGCATTTGGGAATGAGGCTTGGGAAGGTCCCTGCTGTTGATGTCACAGAAGGGTGAATTCCGGGAGACTCCTCAGGCTCTCCCAGAAGCCCCTAGGCCCCGGTCGGCTCTGGGCTCAGTTTCGGTTTGTGAAGGAAGCTCTGAAGAGGGGGCCTCTTGGGCCTAGGTGTTGAGCTGTCTTCATCCAAGCGTCCCCAGCCTAGCCATGGACCGACCCTCAGCGTTTGAAAAGACTCAGGGTGAGAAGGACCCCCGTAACTTGGGGGCCAGTGGCCCCTCATTATCCTGGGCCGAGAGGCCAGGCCGTGGTGGGGCCCACCAGCAGCCTGAGTCCTATCGGCTCGATGTGTCCCAGGAGGAAACCCAGGACTTCTCCCCCCATTCCCAACTCCACGGTGTGACCCACCCTCGGGGCAACGGCTATCACCCCGAAGGCACGGAGCCTCCCCTCCACCCAGATGGCGAAGAGGAGGACCCACGTAGGAGTGGGATACGGTCCCCCGGAGACGCCTCCTGCCCCAGTGGGAGCCAGAAGCGAGGGGAGCGCTTGCTGGGCCACCCTGGTAGGCTCGACCGCAGCACTGGGGCCCCTCATCCTGGTGAGGAACCCCCCGGGACAGCACACCAGCCGGATGAGCCTGGCCGTGAGCAGTCCTACCACTCCGGGGGCGCCCACCGTAAGCCCCGGGCTGGGCCCCCCGGGGACTCTTCCCAACAGGGCTCGCTTCCGTCCTCCCAATCCAACGAGAAGTCGTCGTCGCGCAGAAACACCAACCAGTCCCACAAAAACACCAACCAGTCCCACGGGAGGCCTGACACCCTGGAGCGCCTGCAGCGTAGTAGCACCAGGCGTGCCCAGCACCCCGGCGAACAGCAGCCACGCAGCGATGTGCTCAGCCTGCCTCGGTCCATGGACTTGCCCAGCGAACACGTCTCCGGGGTCTCCCAGTTATTTGCCCCTTCCCTGTCCCCCAGCGTGGCCCCCTCCTCCATCAGCCGGGGATCGGAAGGCCGCCGCGGCACGAAGCTTCACCGTGATCGATCGCGCATCGAGAGCCCCAGCCAGCACCTCTTTCGGACCTACAGTGGATTTATATCACGCACCTCCCAGACCTCCAGCAAAGTCTCTCCCCATGCCCCATCCTCCATAGAGATGGATTACTGGTTTGAAGATGAGCAAATTAAGAAGCACAAAGGTGAGTCCCTCTCCCCACCCGAAATCGCCCGGCTCCAGACCATTCTGCCAGTGGTATGCGCTCAACTCCTGTGACCCTCCACCAGTCCTGTTTGTTCACCCGGCCACCCACCGCGTCACTCCCTCACAGGCTCCTTTCTCAAACACCTGCTCCCACCTGAGGCCACCGTGGTCCGATCCGTTAGGCGTCCCAACCACCTTGATGGCACCCAGCAACAACAAAATGGGTGACCTGCCTGGGCCTTGGCACCCCAGGGATGTGTCTACTCGGCACCCACCCTCTAGGAGCTCCCAGGCTGGGGGGTGACCACTTCAGCAACCAATCGCAGAACACCCAGTGGTGGGGTGCCAGCCCCCACATTTGAACAGGTCTCAGGGGCGGTTGTGTCATGAGGGGTGAAATTAAAGAGACATCAGGCAAGATAAGGCAGGCAAGTGCTCACCTCCGGGACTGCCATGACTTCAGGCATCAGGCCCGAGCAGAGAACGAGAATATGTTTCCAACCAAGACTTATACACACTCAGGGGGCTCCAAGTCCCCCTAATTACAGGGAAGCACATACATAACAAGGGGGCTGTACCCGAACCCTAAAGGTCCCCGAGGACAGAGGAGGAGTAACCCACCACCAGGGCAGGGCGGGGGGGAGTGGCTGTCCTCAGAGCCTAGAGAGCAATAACCGTGTCTGCTCCTACAGTTACAGCTGCGGCTCCATAGCCGTCAGCCATGTGCTTGTCAGGGGTAACTTCAAAGTAGCGCTGCTATGGGAGGAGGAGATAGTGGGGAACAGTAAACTATGAGAATGTGATGGGGACTCACCTCCAACTCACCCGGGGGAAGGCCTCCCTCCACCCCAGAACCCAGCCTGCCAGGCCTCTTAGTAGCTGAGAAGAAAGCATTCGTCCGTCCGCATACACTCTGTTCCCGTTCTCTGCCTCCCACCCCCAGTGAAGAGGGCCTGTCCTTGTCCCTTTGCAGAGCATACGTGACGGTGGATTCTCTGAGTCCATACCTCCCCCTGCCCGCACCCCACTACACCGTGAGCTTCTTGGGGAACAGACTGAAGAAGAGCCTTAAACACTAGGGCAGGGAGGCACCTGGACTTTAGCTCTCTCCCCACCACACTTGGGCCCTAGTAGGAGTTCAAGAAACCTCCATGGTCCGGAGGCACGGGAACTGTGGGCGCAGCATGGGGAAGGCAGGGAAGAGGAAGGGGTGTTTTTCGTGGGGTCCACAAGGGAGGGGAGCGGTTTGGGCTTGCAGCTGGGAGCACCAACCTCAAGACTAGACTCCAAATCCCAAACAGACTGCGAGCCACGGAGGGGTCAGCTTGGGGGCCTCGGTGGGTGGGCGAGGCAGGCGGACAGGGGCCCTGAGCCTGCCCGCCTGTGGCCGGCACAGCCCTGACCCCACGCCCTCACAGTTACGCGAGCCAAGCGCGTCCACAGGAAGCACGAGAAGCTGTCCCACCTGGTGAAGAGAAAGGTGTGCGTCTTTGTTCGGTGGATCCGAGAGCGGCTGCGGACCCTGGTGGAGACGCTCGCCTTTGAGGCCTTCATCTTCGTCATCATCTGCCTCAACACCATCATGCTGGTGGCCCAGACCTTCGCGGAAGTGGAGATCCGGGGCGGTGAGAGCCAGGCG